CATCATCATCATCATCATCATCATCATCATCATCATCATCATCATCATCATCAGCATCATCACCATCATCATCATCATCATCATCATCATCATTATTATCAACATCATCATCATCATCAGCATCATCATCAACAACATCAGCAACAGCATTATCGTCATCATCATCATCATCATCATCAGCAGCAGCAGCGGCGGCAGCAGCATCATCATCGTCTTCATCATCATGAGCATCATCAGCATCAGCATCATCCTCGTCAGTAGCAGCAGCATCAGCATCATCAGCAGCATCATCATCCTTAACATCATCATCGTCAGCACCACCATCATCATCAGCAGCAACATCATCATAAGCAGCATCATCATCAGCATCAGCATCATCAACAACCTCAACATCAACATCAACATCATCACCGTCATCACCATCATCAGCATCATAATCCTCATCATCCTCATCATCAGCATCAGCATCGTCGTCATCATCATCAGCATCATCAACACCATCATCATCATCAGCATCAGCATCAGCATCATCATCATCATCACCATCATCATCATCATCATCATCATCATCATCATCGTCAGCATCATCATCAGCAGCAGCATCTTCATCATAACCAACATCATCATCAGCAGCAGCATTATCATCCGCATCAGCATCAGCAGCATCATCATGAGCATCAGCGTCAACATCATCATCAGCACCATCATCATCATCATCATCATCATCATCATCATCATCAGTATCATCAGCATCGTCAGCATCATTACTATCATCAGCATCATCATCGTCAGCATCATCATCAGCATCATTACCATCATCAGCAGCAGCATCAGCATCAGCATCATCATCGTGAGCATCATACTCATCATCATCAAAACCATCATCATCATAACCAGCTTCAGCATGATCATCGTCAGCATCGTCAACATCGTAATCAGCATCATCATCACCACCATCACCATAACCATCACCCTCATCATCCTCCTCATCATCATCAGCATCAGCATCAGCATCAGCATCAGCATCAGCATCATCATCATCATCATCATCATCATCATCATCATCATCATCATCATCATCATCATCATTATCATCATCATCATCAGCAGCATCCTCAGCATCATAATCAGAATCAGAATCATCCTCATCCTCATTCTTATCCTCATCCTCATCCTCATCCTGATCCTCCTCCTCCTCCTCCTCCTGCTCCTCCTCATCATCATCCTCCTCCCTCTGGCATGGGGGCAGCGGGCCCTCAGGGAGACGGGTCCTGGACCCGGGCCCACCTCCCTGGCGCGCGGAGCGCGCCAGGGGCGGCACCAGAGGCGCCGCCAGGGGGTCCCAGCGCAGGTCCCAAAATCCGCGCGGACCTCCGAAAAATAATGTCTGTGTCGTTCTGTTGTTCAATGCCGTCCTCAGTCGTTTTTCTGGCAGCTCTGGGGCTCGTGGAGGGCCCCCAGAGCCCCACAGCTGCGAGAAACCTCGGGACGCGCTTCCCTCGGGCCCCGTGTTCCTCCTGCCTGGCGACTCCCCCTCGCCGCCCCGCCAGTCCTCTCCTTTGCTCTGCGTGTGCTGGCTCTTATCCGATGTGCGCGCGCGAGGGCGCCCGGCCCGCTGCGCGCCGGCGGGCAGGGGCAGGGGGCAGAACGTCTCCTCCTCCTCCTCCTCCTCCTCCTCCTCCCTCCTCCTCCTCCTCCTCCCCCTCTCCTCCTCCTCCTCCTCCTCCTCCTCATCCTCCTCCTCCTTCTTCTCCTCCCTCCTCTCCTCCTCCTCCTCCTCCTCTCCTCCTCCTCCTCCTCCTCCTCCTCCTCCTCCTCTCGTCAGGAGGCAAACTCGCGGAGGCCCTCGTGGAAACGATTCGCTCTGCAGAGGCCTCCCCAATGGCAAGTGGGGTCCGAGCAGGCCGGGTCGGAGAGGTCGCGCCGCATCGCCGACGCATCGGCAGTGCAACGGCGGCGTCGGCGTGGAGAGAATCCGGCTCCACCTCGGGCCGCATCGCCAAGGCATCGGCGATGCGACGCGATCCTCCGACCCCCTCTGCTCGGACCCAACCTGGGAGGCCTAGAATTAGGGGCTCACGAGCGGCGAGCGTATCCATATCCACGCCCTTGCGGTCTGGGCTCCAAGACTCCATCCCGTGAGTGCGTGGTCGTATGGATACGCGCTTCGCGCGGGGCCTCCACGAAAACGCGCTCCGTGTGCACGGGGCCGTGGCCCAGGTGCCCAGCCCGCGAGGCCGTAGATACGGATGTGTATTCCGCGCACGAGCCACGAGCCAGCTCCAAGCCCTCGTGGGAATGGGGTTTTGGGACCCGATCACAAAACCATCTGGATCAACCCGGGGGAGCCCACGATCAGGCTCGATGAAGCCACATGGAATAATATGATGCGCGTTTATGTCAGAAGAAGCTCCATGTCCCCCTTCCCTTTCCGGACACCTCCCTACCCGTCCCCCTCTGGGGGTCGAGAAGGACGGAGCGGGAGTTCGGGGCAGTGGGCTGGAGTCTGGAATTGTTGGCGTAACACAGACATGGCATCCGAAGGGCAGGGGGACAGAAAAGTACCGGACACCGTCGTGAATGGCCCTGGCCAGGAGCGCCCTCAGCTTTCCACACCTTGCGCAGCCCACGGGGCCCCCCTGAGCCTCGCGAGGTCCATGCCGAGGGCCATGGGTTTGGGGCCTTCTGCGAGAAAGAGTTGCCCAATCTCGCGCCCCACGCTGGGCGAGACGTGATCCTCTTCCCGCGCCGCCACCCCAGGACGTATCAAGGGGCCCCAGGACACGCAAATAAACACACACAAAGAAAATGATTCCCCATATTTTCCCATATTTTCCGGGGTCTTGTCTTCCCCCCGAATTCCCATATTTTCCCATCTTTTCCTGGGAGTCGACGATTCATTGTGTCTGTGTGTTTCTTTACCTCCTGAACGTAGGCAACCACATGCGAACCCTACCCCCGCGGGGCAGACTTCCAGAACGCCGGCCGGGGGTTCCGGCTTCGAGGGATGCCTGCAGCCAAGCGAACCCCAACAGGGGTGCCCGATACCCCCAGCAACGGTGCCCGATACCCCCAGCAACGGTAGCTCGCAATCGGTCGCGGAGGGAGACCCCACCACGCCCCAGACCGTGAAGCGCGGTCCCCTTCTCATCCCCTGGGGGTGGCCATACTGAGCATGTGGCCGATCCCTGTTCCCACTGGCATGGCCGTGGCCCCACTGGCCGACTTACCCACCGAGGCAGGGACAGATGCCCTGTTCCGTCGGGCTTCGCGGGGCCGCTCCCCACCAAGGAGGGTGTGACAGTGGAGGTGGGGATATGGTACTCCGAGTTTCTGAACAAGCGTCGGGGGGGGGGGGGGGGGCGTCACCCCCGCCGACAGCCCCACATCGACCCCCGTCGCGGGCAGCCACCGCGCGCCGAAGGCGCTCCGACCCCCGTAAGGCGCGACGACGAGGCGAGGTTGTCCCCCGTCGTGGGGGTACCCCCCCACGCTTATTAAGAAACCCAGAGTAGACAAAGCTGACCTACCTGGGCCTCGAGGCCAAAGGAACCTCTCCGACAGCGCCCGGCCAACGGGGGTGGGAAGGCCGGCCGACCCGTCGCCCATCCGCGAGGCCCTAGCCGTCGCTCACGCCTCCTCGGGTCAGTCCACGCGCCTGAACCAGGTGACCGAAACGTAGCTGTCCTGCTGGAAGAACTCCACCCGGTAGCGCTCGCCCGGCTCGCCCACGATGCACCAGGACATGTCCCGCCCCGCCTTGCTCGGCCCCTCGATCTTGGCGGCCTTCATGGTGCACCGCGGCAGCCTCGGGTGGATCACCTCTCGCCATCGCTCGGACGTCCATTCCCTGTGTTTTTTTCGGTTTCGTGCGTGGCTTTTTCGCCAAATGATTAGGGATGATCCTCGATGGTCTTCGCCGAAGGACAAATGCACACGTCCGAGCGATGCCAAGACCTTGTCGTGGTCGCCGTCGCAGAGGATCTGGAACAGGGCCTCGCCGCTGCTCCCCAGAGACACCGTCCCGGTCCAGAGGCCCTGGACGCTCTCGCTCGCCTCGAGGGCCTCGGGCTCCCAGCCGTTGTGGTCCCCCTGGAGGAAGAACTCCTCCCCGAAGTCCTCGAGGGCCTCGTCCTGCTCCCACGCCGCCACGCCGTCGTCCTCCAGGCTGATCTTCCACCTGCTGTCGGGCTCTGCGCGCGGGTCGATGCCGGTGGTGTCCCACTCGGCCACGTCGTCCCCGTTCATGGTTATCTCGGCCGGCGGCGCGGACATCAGCTTCCTCGTGGGGCAAGAGGAGTATGCACATACAGTCGGGGCGTTGACCTAAGGAACCCTAAATAAGGAACGGGGCCCCTTTTTTCCACAAGTTAAACTTGGATTTCCCATCGAAAACATTAGGAACACCTGAGGCAAGCTGTGAAACAATCAAGGAACACCGAGCCCCTCCCCAACGAAAAGGGTTCCTTCTTCAGCGCCTCGACTGTACAGCGAAGCTGACCCGGACCATCCTGGGCGCAGGATCGGTGCAGACGCCCTCCCGGCTCGGCCAGGAGGGCATCTGCACCGCTCCCGGGCCAAGGATGAGCCTGGCCAGGATCGGTGCGAATGTACGTCTCTCTCGCTGCCCGGGCCTCTCGAAGGTCTTGTTCACGTCGCGGGCCTGCCGGACGGCACCCCTGGAGGTGTAGACGTTCTTGCCCCAGGCGTGCCCGTGGGCGTTCGTGCCCCCGAAGCCGAAGGACGAGACGCCGCTGTAGGCGCTGTCGTTGGCCATCGTCACCGCCTCGGTGAGCATCTGCACGGGGAAGCCCTCGACGTCCAGGTGCGGGTTGCGGTCGCGGAGGTGCAGCCCCGCGGCCCCCTGGTGGCAGGATCATAAAGGGGCCCCCCCCAGGACACACAAATAGATACACACAAATAAAAAGATTCCCCATATGTTCCCATGCTTTATGGGTTTTTGTCTTCCCCACCACTTCCGATAATTTCCCATATTTTCCTGGGGCTCGTCGATCAATTGTGTCTGTGTTTTTTTCCCTCCTGAGATCAGTCTGCGTCGACTCGGGAAACGGATCGATTATCGGAATGTGCGTCAGGTCGGGCCGCATCGGCACGGGGTCGGCATCGAATCGAACCGGCCGCGAAGGGATGCACAACATGCAGCAGCCCCGTGCGAGCATCGGGGACGGCATCGGGTCGCTGGCACATCGGAGTCCACTCGAACCGGGCAAGCCGGAACCGATGTCGAATCTGGGACGACAAAACGGCACCGATACTGTGAATTACTCCCCAGACCCCTCGAGGAGTGCGTTCCGAACAAAATTTCGATGAGAATCCAGCCGTGGCGACGAGGCCTCCCTACGACAAGCAGCGGCATCGGTACGTCTTCCTCTTCTCGGGGATGGACAGAACTCCCTTTAGTAAAACGTGGTTTAGTGAAAACGACCTCGGGCCCAAACCTGGCGGGCGCAAGCCTCGAGAATGACGGCGGCGGCACCCTCTCGAGAACCGAAAACGGACAATTCACTAATCGACGTGTCAGTGTGGGGGTTCCCGATCTTCTGAGAAGTGGATCAGCGCCTCGCTGTGGGACACCTGGGCGACGCACTTGAAGAAGCCAGCGAGCCCTGCTGGCCAGCCGCTTGCAAACCCTACCCCTGCAGCAGAGGAATAGAAAACGGCATAAACATATGCTGTCGACGGTCCGCCTGGATTTCTCGGATCTGCGCTGGGCCCTTCTCCCTGGCGCGCGGAGCGCGCCAGGGGCGGCGAGAGAGGCGCCGCCAGGGGGCTCCAGCGCAGATCCAAGGACTCCGCGCGGACCGTCGAAAGCTTATGTCTATGCCGTTGTTGTTCTTCTTCGAGACGCAGGTCGGGCTTCTGAGACGCCAGCCGGGGCTCAGACTTCGAGGCATGCCTGCAGCCCCAAGCGAACCCCCGCGGGGGCGTCCGACTCCCCAGCGTCGATGGGGCCCGCAGGGGTAGGGTGACGAACGAACATCACGCACCCATGCCCGCAGGGAGGACGGAGGGGGATATGGGTGCGTGTTGTCGGAGGGGGGTCCCCGCTCGAACGGGAGCCCCCCCCCGCGGTCCAACAGCCCGCACCCATGCCCACAGCCAGCCCTCCTCCCAACGACCTCCCTGTGGGTATGGCCCAGGGGCCTCCCCTCCCTCCTCCCTGTGGGCATACCCACAGCCAGCCCTCCTCCCAACGACCTCCTCCTCCCTCCTCCCAGCGTGTTGCTCGTTCGTCACAGGGCTCGCAAGTGAGGGCCCGAGGCCTGCACCGCCCTCGCCGTGGGCGATGGCGGACTTGCTGGACGAGATCACCACGGGCTGGCGCCGCTCCACGCCGCTCATGGCCTTCCGGAAGGAGCCGACCTCGATGGGGTCGCCGAGCGCCGTGCCCGTGCCGTGGCACTCGAAGCAGTCGATGTCGGCCGCCGAGATCTTCGCCTCGCGGAGGACGCCCTGGATGCACTTCTCCTGCGCGGGGCCGTTGGGCGCCGTCATCGTGGCGCTGCGGCCGTCCTGGTTGGAGTAGCTGCCGGACAGGAGCGCGTACATGCTCTCGCCGTTGTCGAACCTCTGGTCGAGCTTGAACCCCAGGGAGCCCGACAGCTCCCCGCGGCAGTACCCGTCGGCACTCTTGTCGAAAGTGAAGCAGCGGCCGTTGTGGCTGAGCATCCCAGCGGCGCAGCAGCCAATGAAGGGTCCCGGGAACAACATCAGGTTGATGCCGTGCACTACGGAGGCGGGCATTGGCTCATTATCCTTGTATCGTAGGTGGAGCTTGGAAACGTGGATGCACACCAAGGAGGACGAGCAGGCCGTGTCGATGGTCATGCTAGTGCCCTTCAGGTTAAAGGTGTACGAGAAGCGGTTGGCGGTGATGGCGTTCGCGGCGCCGGCTGCGCTGTGCACCCCTTCGAGGGTGATCGAGCCCGCAGCGCCCATGCACATCCAATCGTCCTTGTCGATGCCGACGAAGTGGCCGATGTTTTGGGACTTTCGCGCCAAGCTCGTCTTGTCGTACCCGAGCTCCAACAAGGACATGTATGACACCTCAAGGACCTGCCGCTGCACTGGGTCCATGCACTTCGCCTCCGCCTGCGAGATCTCGAAGAACTTGGAGTCAAAGAGGTCCACGCCAGGGATTCCGAAGCAGCCGTGCTTGCAATAGGCGCCCCCGAACTCCATGTCCGGGTCGTAGTACGGGGTGTTGTCCCACCGCAACTCAGGAATCTCCGTGACACCGTCCGCTCCAGCCCGGCAGATGCCGGTCCAGAACTTGTCGGGCCCATCGGAGTGGCCGCCATATCGGCAGTACATAGCCTGGATCGCCACCTTCTCGCCCAGAGGAGGTGCTGGCCCAGAGCTGAGGCTCTTGAGGAGCAGCTCGGGGTCGGCCTCGACCGTATCGATGGAGAAGACCGCGGGTTCGCTCAAAAAGAAAGAAGTCAACGTCAGCGAGTCTGTGGCCATCTTGTGCTCGTA